ACAGGGTGATATTTCCAAATAACCTCCACAATAGGGATGGGGCCATAATGATCATCCATGTATACGCCCACAGGGGGACTCATGGCCACTGGAATCATGTTTCTGTATATATGTGCCCGATGAAGTTGTCTCCACTTGGCCCTTCTGTTCTGAAACCAGATCTTCAATCAGAGGAAAAAAAAGATTTGGTTAGGATATTGGACAACTAATGTTATAATAGGGAAAAACCCATACATGCTGCTGAAATTAAAATTAAAACTAGTGAACTAAGGTTGGTGTAGAATTTGAAACATTGCTGTATTTCTCTTCTCTCCTGTTAATAATTTTGAACTACTTTCTAGGCCTTAGATGGAGGTGTAGCTGGTAAATAAGTGTTGAACTAGTTATTGAGCTATCCCCTTCTCCTTTGTTCTAAGAATGCTGTCGCCCCTATGGTGGTGAAAAAGCTTGTTAAAAAAAATAAAAAGGTATCGTCTGACTCAAATCATATTGAACAGAACCACTCTGTGTTTAAAAGAAACCCCTATCTTCAATGTGAGGTCACTAATACTTAGGCACATTTCCCTCAAGGATGTTTAAGGGTTCATTTGTCCTCTAAAAGCTCTTGAAAATGAAACAGGTGGTGGATAGTGGATCTTTTAATGACTTAATTCTTTTGGAAGCTCTGAACCTGCAATTTTTAAATGAGGCAAAAACCTCTTCCTGTTTGAATCGGCTTTTACTCTGTTAAGTGTGAATCTCAGGATTCAAAATTTTTTTCAGTATAAAGTCTGTTTTGGATAGATACAAATGTACCAACCATCAAATCTTCCTAAACATAACGAAAGTCAATGGATAGAAAAATTTATTTTTAAGTCAATATTATCAATTCGTTTCCCACAAAACAGAAAAGACAACAGAAACACACCAACTTGAGAATGCCCAGGACAAAACATAACCTAAATGTGTTTTAGAGTACCTGTCTTACCTAATTGTTTTTCAAAAATTTACTAACCTGCACTCTGGATTCAGGTAAACCGAGGCGTTGGGCAAGATTCATTCTGATGGGATTAAAAAAAGTAATGGTTAGTATTGGAGTTGTGGCTTAAAAGAACGTTATGGATTACATTAAATATAATCCCACCTCACAGTGCAGTTTTCTATAATACACAGAGAGACTTGATTTAGGGGGTGGCTTCCTATTCACAAGTAATCTCTTCAATTTAAAACTTTTAAAAAAGGGAATATATGTGAAAATGTCTGGTAGTTAGCTAAGTAACTATGACTTTTATTCTGTTTGTGGAACAGTAGAGAATAACCCTCGAAATATTTTTGAGAGGTTGTTCTGTGCAAAAACCAAAATGCCAGTTGCCTATAAAGTGCTACCCACCCCCTTCCCCCAGAAGCCTTGATGCTTGGGATTCAACTCAGGATTTTGGGTTTCCTAAGCAAGAACTCTGAGTTAAATCCCCAACACCAAATTGGTCCTTTGGACCTGAATATTTCTGATTAAAATAAAATATTTTATTTTAAGAGGGCGAGGTAAACTCTCAAAGAACAAAGTACAACTTAGGCACAAGTGTACCCGATGGGAATTATTCTTGTCTCTTTCCAATCTGAAGGGTGAGCGCCAGGAAGTCAGAGCGCGCTGTCTTCATTATGTACACGAAGTGATCTCCACCCTAGCTAGAATGAGTAGGCCCTTCCTCTACAGCTTCAGGACTACAGAGCATCACAGATATAGGAAATTTCAGCACTTAGCAAGGGCAAGGTGGGAGAAGAGCGCTGGTGTAGCTACACCTTACTGGCGCCCACCACTGCGCTCAACTCGCGTGCAAAATCAAAGGGTTTTAAAGTTCACTAAATGAGGAAAGTCACTTTTTACTATAATACTTTTTAAAATGCCAAACTGTAAAACACAAAACAAAACACCTCAAATTTATGCTGAATACACTACCAAGATTTTAAGTAAAGCGGGTTCCAGTTCCGACAGGAGCTCCTCACT